AGCTTATATTGACCTCCTATTTTGGTAGATGCTGTTTAGCACACATGTCCTCCAAACACCAATTCTGATGCTTTTCCAGTCCTCCTGGTTATACCACAGGTTTTAGTTAAATCACTATGAAGTATTCATATCACTGGACTCAATAAACACTGCCCTCTGCCTTGCCAAGCAGCATACTGATTGCTTCTTACACGACTTTTGTTTTTCCTGTAGTTAGTAATTGCCTGATTTATTTCACTTGCCCATTTCCTTGTACCTTGTACTTTTGCTAATATTTCTCCTTCCTTTCAATATAATGTTCCACAGAGTCAAATTCACCTGTAACCTATCCATTTCATTGATTTTCCCCGAGACATTCCATTGATCTTCATGGGTTGTCCTCTAGTGGAGATGTCTTTCCGCATATCAGGTGTCCATCCATATGGACAAGCATGACATCCCAAATCCCAAAGCTCCCCGTGCGCCTGCACAACACCAGACGCCTCTGCTTCTGGCATCTTTTCAGGGTTTGACCTCGTTCTCGTCAGTACCTCTCGTGGCACACACTGAAGTGTCACATTTCACTGCTCTGACAGGTGCTAACCGTCCCGCCCTATCTTTTCTGTTCTTCATATTTTTGTGGTCTACAGACATTTCCAGGATTCATTATGGTTGGAATCTGTGAATCTGTGTTTCTGTTCTCATTTTTCTTGTTCGGTGCAGATTTCTAAGAGGAAAGGTGTGCAGAAGGATCTTTACGTTGCCATTTTACACAGAGGTCAACCACTCTGTCTTCTTCAAACACCTTCTTACTTTGCTCCTGTGACTCTAGTGTGTGGGTTCTTCTCTTCCCTCTTTCTGTCCTACAACACGTCTGAATTTGGGAGTCCCTCAGGCTGTGGTGTGTGGCTACCTACTCATCTCTATCTCTCTACCCACGATTCTCTAATCCATCCATGTGATGATAAATACCTTCTGTGTCCTGAGGACTCCCCAACTTTTAATTTCATCCAAGATTTCCCTGTAAAGACCTGATCTTGTCTATTTTTCAAATGCATCACAAACTAACCATGTCTCAAACTGAACTCCTGATTCTCAGCGCTAAAGCTGTTCTGCTGCTGGGCTTTCGCATCTCAATTACAGTGGTGCCATCCACCCGGTTGCTTGAGCCTAGAGCCTGGCAATTTCTTCCTCTTGTTTGTTTTTATTTTAGAGAGAAAGCATGTGTGTGAGTGGGGGAGAGGGGCAGAGGGGGAGGGGGAGAGAGAGAGAGAATCTTAAGGAGGCTCCATGCTTAGTGCATAGCCTGACTTGAGGCTTAATCCCATGACCCTGGGATCATGACCTGAGCCAAAATCAAGAGTTGGACGCTCAACTGAGTGAACCACCCTGGCACCCCTCTTCCTTTTGTTTAACAAACCTCTCTGCACCCCCATTTAACCCCAGTTCACTTAATCCAAAATTCCAATTCCAAAATATATCTTGAATCCTTTTGCCATACTCTAAACTACTATAATTTCTTATTCGGATCACTGACTTTGCAGCCTAACAGACTTCCTGCTTCGACTACTTGGCTTTCCACCCCATGCTTCCCAGCAGCAGCCACAACGGATTTAAAGCATCAGTCAGATCACGCACTCCTTTCCTTGGAGTTCCTAGTGAATTCTCGTAGCATCTCCAAGAACACCCAAGCTTGTACCAGCCTGGGTGTGGCCTGGTTTTGCCCGCCTCTTTCACTGCAACTGCTGCAGAGTGATCAGGGCAGAGAAAAGCAAGAGGGTTTCTGGCCTCAGGGCATTTGCACGTGCTGTTCTTTTTACCTGGTTCACGCCTACACTCTCTCTTCATATGGATTGCTCATTTTCATCCATGAAATCTCATCTCAAATATCACTTCCCAAGAGGTTTAGAGGGTCACCCAATCTAAGGCAGTTTCCCCGGCTATGGTCTCTCATAGGACTCCCTTCTTTTTCTTTAATACCTGGCCCTAATTCATATCTGTTTTCTTACTTGCCTAAAGTCTGTCTTTCATACCAGAGAATGAGACTAGAAGCTAGTTCTAGGATTTTTTTTTTCCCCTTTCAACATTATCCTTCTGGTGCCTGCCCTGTGGAGATCCTCAATATATTTTTCAATTCAAGGAATGATTTTAAAAATAAGCAAGCAGCAATAAAACAAAACAAAAACAGGACCTATCAAAACATTCTGCTGCAAACAGGATTGCCATCGATTCAGATACAGAGGATGAGTGTATTTCAGGAAAGACGATGACATTTTAGGGAGCATTTGCTCTCTCGGGGCCCTTAAATTGTGAAGTCTCTGAAGAAGAGAAGAAAGATGTTACGGAGAGACAGCAAAATGCGGACGAAAGGGAAATGTAGACTCAAATGCAGGGGGACAGTAAGACCAGGACAGAAATTCCGACGGCATTGGAAGCCATGAGGAACAGAGTCAACGCTGCCAAGAATAAAGTCAGTTCAGTGAAAGGCAGGTAAAGGATGCTCTGAGAACACAGAGGGAAAGGGAACTGGAAGGAGCACACCAGGCATGTGATAGATAGACAAGAAAGAGTGTGGTGTGGACAGATGGCGGACAGTCCTGAGAGGGAGAGAGGAAATGGAGCCAATGGATCCAAATACGCCCGTGCACGAATTAACGACAAGACTAGCAACCTGGACGTATGTTGGTGACTTTCTGTGTCCTCTGTGTCTTGTACACAGTAGGTACTCAATCCACCTAGGCCAATTTTAACATAAAAAAATTTTTAGGTTCTTATAAAAACAACTAAGACGGAGGGTTGCAGTTTTATTGTTGACATACAAACTTCAATAAAATTACTGTAACAAAATGTGTACTGAACAACAAAATACATAATATGAAATCTATTTATAATGTGTGAAGAAAAGAATCAAAACAACAGAGGAAGGAAACACGAGCATCATTCCTTTGAATTTTTACCTGACCAAAGAGATCTATGATTATATCTATGATTATAGATAAATTTAATATAAATCAATAAGATTTCTTTAAATACATAAAACATTTTGTTCTTTTTAAGGTCCATGGAACACTAAATAACAAGTTTTAAATTAAAAATAACTTATGCACATAATATAATTTTATCTTTAAAATATGTGTAGATATATACAAATATATTTATTTTTAAATTTATTTACTTATTTTGAGAGAGAATGTGAGTGGGGTAGGGGCAGAGAGAGAGAGACAGATTCCCAAGCAGGCTGTGTGCTGACAGCACAGAGCTCTACATGGGGCTCGACCCCACAAACCATGAGATAATGACCTGAGCTGAAATCAAGAGTGTATGGACTGAGCCGCCAGGTACCCCACAAATGTATTTATGTGGGTAAAAATAATGCAAAATGGAGACTGGAGTAGTAAGAGTGTTTTCTCTGAGTGGTGGGATTTCTTTTGTTTTTTTTTTTTTAATGTTTATTTGTTTTTGAGAGAGAGACAGAGTGTGAGCAGGGGAGGGGCAGAGAGAGAGGGAGACACAGAATCGGAAACAGGCTCCAGGCTCTGAGCTGACAGCACAGAGCCCGACACGGGGCTCGAACCCATGAACTGTGAGATCATGACCTGAGCCGAAGTCCGATGCTCAACCGACTGAGCCACCCAGGCGCCCCTAGTGGTGGGATTTCTAATTATTACTATTTTCCTTTTCATTTATATGAATTTTCTGTCATTTCTACAGGGGACTCGTATTGCTTGTATAATTAAAAAAGTGAAGGGGAAGCCGGTCAATTCACACTCAAGTGAAATGTTATTAGTAAAGACACAGCCCATCATAAGGGAGGGGTGACCAGTAGGAAGGACGAGACATGCATACAGACAACAAAACCTTCAGTGTGTTTGGGGAAAGCGTTATTAAACCATAAGAATTGAGAGAAGTCCAAGAATACGTTCTCTATGGAAAAGGAAACCAAGGGAGGAGAAAACTAGATCACAGGCTGTCTTCACAGGCAGAAGGCTTTCCCAAGCATCACATACCACGAGGTAAAGAGCAGGAAGAGAAACAACCCGAAAGGAATATGGATATTAAAATTAATGCTAACCCTAGAAGGATTGTAGTGCTGTGCTGTTGATTTTGGAAAGGGGAGAAAACTCCAAGCCTCTTGAAGTCATAAGAGACACTGTGCTGTAGTAAAAAGAGCCCTGAGTAATCAGGCACATTTGAATTTCAGTGCAAGGTCTGCAACTCAACCAGCCTGTAACCTGATTACTGAACTGTCTCTGACCCTCAGTTTGCCCCTCTATAAAATGGGGATGACGATGCTTGCTTTGGATGATTGCTGTATTGAATTATCCAAAGAAAGCTTGTGAGGGGTGCCTGGGTGCCTCGGTTGGTTAAGCGGCCGACTTCGGCTCAGGTCATGATCTCGCAGCTCACGAGTTTGAGCCCCGAGCTGGGCTCTGTACTGGCAGTTCAGAGCCTGGAGCCTGCTTCCATTCTCTCTCTCTGCCCCCACTCTGCTCGCACTCTGTCTCTCAATCTCTCTCTCTCTCTCTCTCTCTCTCTCTCTCTCTCAAAAATAAATAAATAAATAAAATAAACATTAAAATATTAAAAAAAGGAAGTATGTGAACACATATGGATAAACATATATACAGAAAGGGGTGTGGATTTTGAAGAATTAATTCGGTATCTATGTGTGGAGCACTTACTACGTACGAGCCACAGGGGCATAGAGACCTCATGTCTGCCCTCATGAAGCTCACGAATGTCATGTCCACGAACGCAACCTAAGATGGTGGAGGAGGAGTTCCCCTGAGGACAGCATGCTGGGCGTCTCAGGGAGGAGATGTTGGTGTTTGAACTGGACCTTACCGGAAAGCCAGAATCTGGACGTACTAATCCACGGGCAGGAGGGGGAGTGATTAAACACCCCCCGCGTTATGAGGAAGGATGGAGAAAGGCAGGAGGAGAAAAATAACAAGTTGTCAACAGAGCGTTGTTCGATTTGATTAGATCCGCAATGATCTAATCATTTTTTTCGCCTACAGATCTTCAAAGATTATTGTTTGGATGACCATGCAGGCGCAGAGAACTGAGACAGTGATGTTAGGAAGCTGGTGAAAACGCTCCCCTATTTATTTCTGCCTGCTTGTCTGTGACCGGTGTTTCACAAAAGGAGTGAGAAATTAGTAACCACATGCTGGGTAAGATGTTCACGAGAAGGTCAGGAAGCTTGTTTGTCAACCTTAATTGACAACTGATGTTTAAAAGGCGAAGCATCATTCTCGTAATTTAATGGGAGAAATTGCTATTTAGTGTCAGAGGGGGAAGAGCTACCATATGCAAAAGCCTGTGGAAATGAGAAAGACGGACAAAATAATCCCCTTTTTGTTTTAGGAAAACGTAAAGTGGTGCCCCAGGGATTGTTGGCAAATATTATCATCTTTGAAAGCTACTACTTAACACAAATTCCGGGAAACCAGAGGCTTCTGGGTAATGTGAATCACAAGGAAAGAATGCCCCGTTTTGTGGCTGAAACTTTTTAATGGAATACTGGTTGATCTTAGCGAAGAAGGCCAGGGGTCAGGGTCAGTTTGGGAGAATTTTCTGCCTGTTTCTGTAGAGGCCCCTACATAAAACACTTCTTTCTCGGCCTGATTGAAATGTTTCATGTGATCACCTACCCGTGGGAGCCACTCACATCTCCAGAGATATGCTTCCTCCTTTTTCCCTATGTTGCCTAACTTGAGATAGAGCTTAATAGGGCTCTACTCATTCTTTAAATGAACATTTATTAAGCACTGGTTGCCTCCATGCCTCCTGTATTTGACGATCTTGATTTAGAGATGGTGTATCTGAGACAGGATCCCCTTAGCCAAACAGAATCACTCTACGTTTTAAACCAGAGGGCATTTACTACAGGGAATTGGTTACCTGATGAGGGGGAAACTGAGATGCCAAAGTGGGTGGTAAGGCCACCCAGTGGTTATCGTAAGAGCAGGCAACTGCTTCGGCCCCAGGGCTGCAGAGGGCCGGGGGGAACGATTGGGGGGGATTGTTGTGGGGTGTCCAGGAGCATCACAGAAAGCTGAGAGGAGGGGAGAGAGATCCTGACTCCTTTGGGTTTCTAGCTTTCTAATCTTTCACTGGTGTCTCCACAGGCCAAACCCACCCAGAACTGGAGGAAAGGGAGGAAGAAGTTCCTCGTAATACAGAGTACAGCACTAGGAGAGAGATGGGTAAGCCAGGACTGTACTGTGATGTAGTCTGTCTGTGCTAAGTCCTACAAGAGCAGGTTGCACGGACCTCTGTGCGCTGAGATGCCTTCAGAAGAAGCTATTATTTGAGCCGCTTCATAATGAATAGTTCTATGGTAGGAAAAGGCAGGGTGGGGGTAGGGGAGGAAGGGTGCTTTGAAAGAGAGGGGAAAAGACTTGGAGGGCTCAAAGCTTATGTTGGAGTTGAGGAATCACAGACAGCTCTTTGGGGATAGAGCATCAGTGGATGGCAGGTGTGCAGGGGATGAAGCTGGAAAGAGTTGGGGACCTCCTAGCGCTCAGGACGAGGAGCTGGCCTCGGCTAGGACGCTAGGATGGGGACAGTGTCATTGAGAGTTCCCTCGGGGGTCTGCACCAGCGTGAAAATGTGGTGTAAGGGGGAGACTGAAGACAGGGAGGTCGATTAGAAGGAGAAGAGAGTGGGGAGAAGGGCGGGACTCCCAGGGAGGAGCACGCAGTGAGGAGGGGAACCTAGTGACATCAAGAACGCTGAATGGATAGGATTTGGAGATTTTTTAAATGTTTATTTTTGAGAGAGAGAGAGAGAGAGAGAGTAGGGGAGGGGCAGAGAGAGGGAGACACAGGATCCAAAGCAGGCTCCATCCAGGCTCCGAGCTGTCAGCACAGAGCCCGAACTGTGGCTCAAACTCACGAACTGTGACATCATGGCCCAAGCCCAAGTCAGACGGTGCTTAACTGACTGAGCCCAGCCAGGCGCCCCTAGGATTTGGTGATTTTAATGTACATCATGAGGGGAGATGCAGAAATCCCCATTGGATGGTCATGGTGCCATTTACCCAACAGGAGGAGGGAGCTTTTTATTGACCTCCCTGATATTTTCCATGTAGAGTTTTATTTTTGGCTGCTAGTGGAGTTTGAAATGGACAAAGCTAACGCTGTCTATCTGGTTGATGCACCATTACTGATAGGAAGAGAGTAGATAGGACACACCCACCGCTCTCCCCATTAGCTGCCTCACTTCCTGTGGGAGAGACACGTATGCCAGCACAGAATAGCAAGACAAAGTGATAGTCATGGAAGAGGTCAGTGCCAGCTGCTAAGGAGCTGAAGGGGGAGCCAGCTTCCAACTCTGCCTGGGTGCAAGTGGAGGTGGGGTATTCATGAGGCCTTCCAAGAGGAAGCGACTCTTGACCTGACTCTTGAAGGGTGCGTGGGAGTTCTGTAGGTGGAAGAGTGAGAAGATAAAGTGTGTAGAGACATGACCTGTGAGAGAACATGGTCCCATCTTGTTGAACATAAGTGTGAGAAGGACAGAATGATGTGAAATGATGCCAAGAAGGAAACGAGGGGTAGAGCAGTGACAATGTTCACCCTATAATTGATGGGGAGACCTTGGTAAATTTTGAGGAGATCCTTTTTAGATACCACTCTCTTGCTCACTCAACAAATATCATCTGAGTTCCCTGTTGGACCACTCTGGTGGCAGAGTGAAGGATGAATACTTAAGAGATGTTTCACAGGGAACCAGCTGTTTTCCAAAACGTGCTGCTTCTGCCTCCAGTCGCAACTAGACCACATTTCTGTCTCTCTTGCCATTAGGTGTGGCTGCATGTCCTTATTCCAATCTAAGCAATGTGTGCAGAAGTGAATCGTGCTTCATTTTGGTGAGATGGGGCCTTTGGGACCTACCCTGTGCTGGGCTTTATGCTTTTCCTCTTCCTGGCTGACTGGGTTGAGACCTTGGAAACCAAGTCAGGAAGATGCTGGAGCTGCCATCAGCACAGGCCTCCCTACTGTCTGGAAACATACCCTGGACCATATGTGAGCCAGAAATAAACATTTCTTAATGTGAGCCCTTGTGTATATGAATCTATCAGCATAGCTCAGCTACCCTAATCATAATCGTAGTGACATAAGAGGTTGGTGTAAGTAAATGAAAGTTTGAGCTGGGGCCATAGAAGTGAGGATGGAGAAGCAGGAGGAGAGGGAGTAAATGGCTGTTTAGAAGACAGAAAAAACAGGTGCTGGAAAGTGGTTGGCTTCGTGGGTGAGAGCGGTCCAGCATGGCTCCTGATTCCTGCCTTGGGTGACTGGTCAGATGATGGTAACATTCCATGATGGAACCAGAAGAGGAGCAGGATGTTTGGTGTTAGGGGTATGGACCTGATTTAGTGAAGGTCTGGGATTTAGACATTTGGGAGACGATAAACTTATGAAGGTATGAAATGATTCATTTAAGCATAGAGGTAGATCGTAGAGAACAGGATAGATAATGGACTTCGATAAGGCATCTATCTATCTATATCTATCTATTTACTGTTGGCCTTCAAATATTTTGATCATGAAATTTCAAACATATAAAACTGAGAGAATGGTGTCATGAACTCTGCACAACCATCATCATGCTTCAGTGATTTTATGTTCATTAGCTTTCTATTGCATAGAACAAATCACCCCAAAACTTAGCAACTGAACACAGTAAATATTTATTATTGCATACCATTTTGGTGGGTCATAAATCCAGGAACGCCTCAGCTGTGTGGATCTGGAACTGTGGTCATCAGGAGGCTTGACTGGGGCTTGAAGATCTGCTTCCAAGGTGATTCGCTCACATGCTTGGCAAGTTAGTGCCAGCCATTGGCAGGACGTCTTATTCAAGGGTCTTTATGATGTGCCTGCTGGCTTCTCCCAAAGTGAGTCACCTTTAGAGATAGCAAGGCAGAAGATGTATGTGACCTATCCTTGGCAGTCAGACGCCTTCACTTCCACAGTGTCTTGTGGCTACACAGATCAACTCTGTTCACTGTGGGAGAAGATCACACAAGAGCATGAATACTAAGAGGTGGAGGTCATTGGGGTCATCTTGGAAGCTGGTGACCCTATCACTCCCAGCCAGTCTTATTTCCTCTATACCCTCAACTCACGGCCCCTTGCCTACATTGTTTTGAAAGAAATCCTCAATATTGTACCATTTTATTATTAAGCATTTTCAATAGGTATCTGAAAAGTTTACGGTATTTTTTTCTGATAGAATCCAATATCTGGTCAGTATTAAAATTTCCCCATTTTGTATATTTCTCCATAAATGTACATACATATACATATATTTATTTGTTATATTATTTGTTTATTTGAGTCATGTTCCTACTAAGGTGTATATATTGCAATTAGTTAATATAACCATTAGGTCTCCACCTGTGGGTTCATCCTTTTTTTTTTAAAGGTTTTACATTCATTTGTTGAGGTAGTTTGTTTTGTTCCACAGTCTATTTTTTGATGATTGCAGTATTATTTAACGTGTCTCATCCTCTCTGTATTTCTCACAGAGACATCAATATTTAAAGTGTCATCAGAGAAAGAGAGCTTACAAATAGATACTTTTGCTAGTGTTAAGATTGGTACTTGGGGGCGCCTGGGTGGCGCAGTCGGTTAAGCGTCCGACTTCAGCCAGGTCACAATCTCGCGGTCTGTGAGTTCGAGCCCCGCGTCAGGCTCTGTGCTGACGGCTCAGAGCCTGGAGCCTGTTTCCGATTCTGTGTCTCCCTCTCTCTGCCCCTCCCCCGTTCATGCTCTGTCTCTCTCTGTCCCAAAAATAAATAAAAACGTTGAAAAAAAAAAAAAAAAAGATCGGTACTTGGCCCAAACCAGTACACTACAACAGAATGAAATTCTGGTATATAAGAATACATTTGAATTCTTATTTTTAACTATAATAATTATTGCTCTTTTGTTGTTTAAAAACCAAGCAGTCAGATTGGAGCACTTCGAGTGCTAGAGTAGAAGCCATCAGCCCTCGGTGCCGTCTCTTCCTGGACTCTGGCCAAGTGTGTGCACATTTGCGATACTGAATTGTTGTTCGCTTTCAGTTGAGGCCAGTAGAGGAACCAGATATTCTGGGGAGCCCTACTGTTCTCTGATACTTTTTTCTTTGCTTTCTTTCTATTCTGTCTTGTGTGTGCACCAAGATAACTGATGGCGGCAGTGTCCAGATTTTGGAAAGCTTTGCTTGTGAAACTTGGAGGCGGTCAAGGTGTCATTGTCTTTTTAATTTGTCCTTACAAGGCATGCAAGGGTTCCCAAGTAAGACTTTTTCTTGAAAGACTTACGGCCTAATGTGATTAAGCAACTGCACGTGAAGTATAGCTCTTAAAAGTGATTTTATTTATTTTCACGAATGCTAGCCTACCAATTAGTCTCACAAAGCCTGAAATGGTGACACGTTATCTTTACTACTTTGACTTGTATTATTAATTGAAATTGTATTTAAAACATTATAAACATTAAAAAAATTTTTTTAATGTTTATTTTTGAAGGAGAGAGAGACAGAGCACGAGTTGGGGAGGGGCAGAGAGAGAGGGAGACACAGAATCTGAAGTGGGCTCCAGGCTCTGAGCTGTCAGCACAGAGCCCGACGTGGGGCTTGAACCCACAAACCGTGTGATCATGCCCTGAGCCGAAGTCAGACGCTTACCAACTGAGCCACCCAGACACCCCTGAAAGTGAATATTTTGATATTAACAATAAATCTGAATGGCATGCTCTTTCTGTATTACGGTGACGTGATCAGCTATGAAGGAAACCTGTGCCACCACACGATTATTGGTGGGCACAAGTTCAGGGATGCCAGAAATGACAATGAAGTTGGTATTTAGTTATTTGGTCCTTCAGAAGCTGAAGCAGAATCCTCAGGTGAAAGGACATTCAAAGAGAATGTCCAGATAAGCAGGAGAAGCGGGAGAGAGTAGTTAATTCAGCAAATATTTGTTTAGAGCCTATTGTGGACCAGGTACTGTTGTTTTAGGATACACTTGGGACACGTTCGTGAAAACCAGACAGGGCTCTGTCTGTATGGAGCATACACATTCTCAAGGCCAATGGCAAAAAGGACTGGAAAATGTCCACTGAGCTTGACAAGGAAAGCGCTAAGCTGGTAGGCTTGTGAGAACAGCTCTAAAGGGCTTGTTAGAGTGGAGGCCCCTGTCTCCACAGGCTAAGTGGTGAATGAAGGTGAGGGAGTATAGAATCGTGTGTGTGATTCGTTCAGAAGTTCAGCTGTCAAGGGATGGAGGAAGGGCTGCATAGAGCAAAGCATTTTTCTTGTAAGCTAAGAAAGGCTGAGCACGTTAAGCTGATGGTGCAAATGAGTGTCAACATCTGGAAGAGCAAGGAGAGATATTAAGAGTTCAATGGTCAGGGACAAGGTGAGGTAGACCTAGAAAGTTCTTTGAACAACCTAAGCTGACGGAGAGGGAGTCCTGCAGGGAATTGTCTTAGACACCACCAAGACCTTAGCAGCATACTCTCCCCACTTCCTCACTAATAAGAAACTGGGGCACACTCAGCCCTTACTTCCATGAGCCATGGCAGGAGATGCCTTCCAACTCCTGGATCCTTCTTAGTGTCCAATTTGCTTCATTAGGCACAGGGCTTCCTTCTAAACCAAACCTACCTACCTACCTACCTTCCTTCCTTCCTTCCTTCCTTCCTGATCCTGGTTGAGAAGACAACCAGAAGTGGTGGTGCTGACCTCCAATCTGAAACCATCATGCAAGAAACTTAGGCCATAAAAGTGGGGAAGTAGCAGAATTCCTCCTGCTTTGTTCTGGTTTTCAGAAAACCAGGAGTTCTTTATAGAAAACAGGAGTGACCAACCCAGGGCAGTAGGATAAGATCAAGCAGATTGTTCACTGTGTAGGGGCACGTGGGCTCGGGAGCAAATGAAGACTGGAGCTCTCTGCTTATCAGGCCTTGTCCCTGGGCCATGGGCTTGAAACTCCAGCAAGAGACATCTTTTTTTCTTTTTTCTTTTCTTCTTTTTTTTTTCTTTCTAATTCATACAGACATACTCCTTATCCGCTAGAAGCAGCCCTGGAAAAACTCAAAAAGATACCTCAGTAGACACTCTACCAGTGGCCAGATGAGGTATTCCTTATTTTTTGATAGATAATTCCAAGCTCTCATTTACTTAGAGCAAACCTGAAACATGACTATTTCCAGAGTCTAGTAAGAAATTCTTGAGTGGGTATTTTTTAGTGATATCTCTGATAGCCAAGAAATCATCCGCAGATGAGTCATACAAGAGTCAATGCAAGTATTAAAGAAACACATGGGAAAAATCTACGACCTCATTAGACAACAAAGAAAGTAGAATTGAGCAGCCTTGAGGCAACATTTTAAACACATAAAGATAGAATGATTTTGTCCTGTGTGGGGAAGTTGGTGATGAAGTTTACCCCTCACAGGACAGCTGGCATCATTTGAGGGCAAACCCACTTGCAAAACAGAATGACAACATGCCCCAACAACTATAAAGATGTTCCTATTCTTTTTTCCCCACACGGTTATCCCATGCCTGGAACTTTATCCCATGGAATTAATTCAGAAAAAAAAAAAGGCTATATGCGTGAAATGGTTCATGGCATCATGATGTACGTATCAGATAAATAATAGGAGCTCAATAAATAATTATGCACTGATCTAGCAGTACATGAGGGTGTCTGCTCTAGGAACATTCTGCAGAGACTAGCTCTGTGATACTGGTATGTTTTCAGAAGTCATCCACACAAAAGGTGTGCAAGCATCTTATAAAACGAAATAGCATATATACACGTTACACAGCGGTGTCTTTGGTATCCACAGGTGATCTTTAGCAAAATTTTCACAAGGAAAATAATCTAGGCATTGCTCAGTGCTTAATATAAAGTAACAGTCCTCAAACTGAAGTGTATTTCAGACTCCACCCCCCAGCAGTTCTGATTCAATGGGTTTGGAGTGGGGACTGAGAATTTGCATCTCTGACAAGGTTCTCAGACAAGCTGACCGTGTTGGTCCCAGGGCCTCACTTTGAGAACCACTGGTTTAGAGTAACTAGCTTTGGCCCCGGGAATTCTAATTATGTCTAAGTATCTGGCATCAAAAACACAACTGAGATTTAAATGATTAGGGGTCACGAATTATGCCTTATTCATCCATGTGTCCTTAGCACCGAACCCATGTCGTGTCTGGGTTAATGCTTGTTAAACCGAGTTGCAGCCACAGCCGGGAATTTCAATAAATTAAAGGCACATCTTCATTTCACTTTCCAGTTTTTCTCCATCCACTGGAGGCAGGATTGACGAGACCATGGGTCACAGTCATGTTTATGTGGAGGCCACCTGGTTGGCTCAAGCTCTCTGATCTGACCTTGGAGTATTTAAACAGCTGTTGAGACCGGGCAGCGGGGTGGGTGGTGAGTCCCTGCTCTTT